ATATACTTATGTGTATAGAATGCATGAGGGAGGTAAATCTCTGGATTTGTGACTGTCTGGTTGTGGGTTCGAGTCCCTGCTGAAGGCACTGCTTTACTACCTGGAGATAAGTACTTTACTCCAGTAGCTCCACTCTGCCCAGCTCATAATAATAATAAAAACTTTGATTTATAAAGCACCTTCCCAAATCCAAGGACACTATACATAGTGATAAAGAAAAAGACCGGAAAAGGCACTGTCTCCTACGGTCCGAGATTTAGTCCTGGGTATAGTGGACAAAGGACCAGCCGCAGCGGAGGGGGGGGAGTGTAAACACGGAGGAGTTCAGAGACGTCAGATGGGGCCAGAGTCAGTCACAAGATCCTGTGAGTGGAGGTGGCGACCAGCAGGGGATAGACCTGTGATGAACCAGTGTCCTGGCTGGGCACATGTTCACAGCCTGCTTTACGCTATGAGCTCTGGTGCCTGCTCTTGCTTACCTTCAGACGCCCACGTAGAGACGCAGGCTCATGTAGACTCCTCGGGGTCGTCGGAAAAGCTAAGCATGTGCTCCCCCTCCCTGACAGGGGGGCGCAGTGCTCCCCGTCTTCCTCACCTTTCTGCTGATGCTGTGCAGGTTCCGGGACAGGAGCTTCCGGAAGCTCTCCACCTCCTCCGGCCGCAGGGGCTGGCTGGGGGGCGCGGCTTCTTTTCTGCCAGGACGGGAGGAGCAAGAGAGGGGCGATGAGGGCAGGAACTGAGAGCAGTACAGCGGGATTGTGGAGTACGGCCCTGAGCGTCACAACCCAGAGCCACAGAGAAACAGGTGTCAAATCCACAGTGTCTACAAGGTCAGGGAGTCAGGGAGACTGACCAGAGGAGGGCATTTGGGCATAAGGCATTTGGGCATTTTAACCTAAGGCTGTTTGTAGGTCGGTATCTGTCGTTGCTAACAATCAATGGAAGTAATGGAGCCCGATGACGGCCTCCTTTGGGAAGCAGGCGGGGTCTGAGCTGCAGTCAATACATGGCACCCAGCTCTCAGATAAGCCAGTGAGGCAGGTGCCTTTCTAGTTTTCTGGTTCAAATAAGAAAGATTTTGCTGCTTCATTTTTGCTGAAAGTAAATGTGAAAATAGTAAGTACAAGTCGAAAGATCTGAAGCTTGAGTTCCAGTGTTTCAGGGCCTGGATGCATAATGCATTTTCCATGACGGTGAAAGTTTGTGTCAGTGTGTCTTGCACATGGCAGGGGAAGTGGGCGTGGCGCGGGGTGCTCTCTGCAGCCATGCTCACGGGGGCACTGTGCTCTCCCCGAGCCCCTCGGCGTCTGGGCCCAGGATGTCTCTCTTCTCCAGCCTCTGGTACACCTGCACGATGCTGGACTGGGCCTGCTTGTCCGCCCGGATCAGATACCTCCTCAGGTACTTCTTGTTGAATTGCTCAAATCTAATGAGGACACCGGGAAACACGTAAAGGCAAGTTAAAACCAAATTCTCCCTGTCACTCCCACGGCTATCGTTCTGTGCAAGCAAAGCCACAGCACAATGAGACCCAGTGCCACAAACACTTTTCAAAGAACATTGTTGTGTTTTGTGGCAACAGCACAGTAAAAGCATGGTAAAGCATAAGGAGGTATGGTGTAAGAAGGTGCAATGTGTTCAAAAGCATGGCAGTTTTATAAGCATGAGGGAAAAAAACAGTTCTGTGAAACTGACCATGTTGATCGCTTTTTAAACCCTTCACACACCTCTTGTGGCACAACATGCTGGTGACCCCCCCTCCCCCCCCCCGTCTTCCCCGGTCTCTAAACCCCCCAGCAGAGGAGGCTGATACTCATTCACCATGCTGATAGGACTGGAGCACAGAGGGGCAGTTCCGAATTCTCCTGCAATCAGAAGCCCAGGGCCACCAGACCAGTGGTGCCGCACTACCGCACCGAGCTGCAGGACTTGACAGAAGCTGCTTGGAGTGGTTCCAGATGTCATGAGCAGGTAAGGGCAGCCGTGGGTCTGAGCACAGCAGCTCCAGGGGCCTCCTGGTGTCTGAAGATGCTCCCTCACCTGTCCTTCCAGTAGTTCTGTCCCCACTGGGCAGTGATGTCCTCTATCCCCACCAGCAGGTGGTCCAGGAGCTGTGGGCACAACAGCACAGGAAGTGTCAGCTCATCAGCACTGTGGCTGCTGCGTCCTGCTGGTGACATTGGCTGATTTCGTATTAAATCACAGTAAGTTAATTCGAATTATTTGCACAGTGCCTTAAGGGTGCTCTGTGTCCTCATCAGTTATCGTACACATCTTTTCCTTTTTACACGCCAGCGCTCGGGTGTGAGCGATTTACAAATGTGCAGACTATGTCTCCTCGTGTACTTTCTGAATGCCCCGATGCTGGTGGGCATCGTTTCAGCTGTCGAGAAAGACGTCTGCCTTGACCACTGCGGGCTCTCTCTCAGGTACCCGGATGTGGATCTCCTCGCTCACAGTAGGGGGCGCCTTCTTCCTTCTCTTCACCTCCAGCAGCTCCACCAGTGGTTTGATCGTCATGCCCTGCGACAGAAGAGCACTTCCTTTACTCAATGACACTCAACGTCCCCTTATCCATGTGTTTCTGTTAGGAATTTAATATTATCAGTTAATTTTCAGGAGCTACTTCTGAGCACTGTAGATGTTAAAACATTCCATTTCCTCCAGTGTCCTCTGTGGACGCTCACTGATCGCAGACTGTGCTGTAAGAGCAGTGATAACTGTGTATTTCAGAAACGATTCAATTTCATTTGAAAAGTGCATTATCTCACAGTGCACTGACCTGGGTCCCACATATTCCCCTAAGAGGAGTCGAAATGGAACTGAGAGCGAAAGAAGAGGTTTAATTTCACAGCAGCACTGCCCAAGCAGGAATCTCACTTCCTGTGGTTTGGTACTCGCACCTAGAACAATGACCGCAGTGTAAATGCCCTGTGTGTGTGTCACATGTGTAAATGTGTGTGTAACGTGTAGCTCCGCCCTGCCCATGCTGGGATTCGGTCACTGTCGCTCAGGTGCTCAGAGTGGACATGGTACCAACCTGTACTGCACCAAAAGAGCAGGTCTTCTGCTGCAGCAGAGACCCACACTGAGTTTCAGGGGGCTCGCTTCCCTGCACTGACCTCTGGCACATGCGCCAGTAGGGTCGCTGTGCTGAACCGCAGCTCCGGGTTAAATTTTCCACGACACGCTGGGTCAGAACCAGTCTCAACGAAGGCAGTCTTGTGCAGATGAGTTTATCTATTTAAGAGTGGGGTTGTTATTCTTCCTCCGATTCACATATTATGATAGAGTGGTCATATGACGACTGGCTGGTAGCCCAGCGAGAAAGAGGGTGATGCAAAATACCTGTACAAACACAGTGAAGAGGATGACCACGATGGTGGTGGTGATGAAGAGCCTCTTCTTGGGGAAGTCATCGATCAGGAAGACCAGGGAGAAACAGATCGCCCCCCGCAGGCCGCCGTAAGCAATGATGAACTGGTCCTTGAAGGTGACAGGGTTCCTGCGCAGCCGGTTCACCAAGGCGGTCAGAAAGAGCACCCCTGAACCACATGAAGGAGATGATTAGACTAACACTGACCAGGCCATTACTGGACCTGCTGCTTTGCACCTGTGAATGACGGATATCTGCACTATTCCTACATCAAACCCAATTGCAGAGCTGTAGTTTTCACACCTGGTCTACATAAATAATCTGATAATTGGGTCAATTAAGCAATTGAGACCTAGTTGGAATGAAAGTCATAAAACCCTGTAGCTCCCAAGGAGAACTGGAGACCCAAGTGGGCACACATATAGCATAGTGTAAATAAGATAGCATAGTACATCTTGGTGGGAAATACAATATGAGCCAAATTAACTTTATGCTAATAGTCACACATACAAGTATCTTCATCGCACTACTGTGGAACTCAGTGCTCAGGACCTATGGCTTTTCTAATGGACTCAATCCCATTCCAGGTAGCTGGAGTCATTCCAGCTGGTGTAATGTAACTCAGCTGTGACCCAGAAATACACCTTGGTGAAGTCCATGCCTGGCTGTCGCCAAGCCACTCTTTTCCATGCATGTCTGTGTGCAAGGGGCTACATGCGTGTGGGTGCCTGTGTGCAGTAAGGCACGTGCCCAGAGCCCTCCAGAAGAGGCAGAAGAAGAGAGTGAAGGAGACGAAGGCCCAGCTCCACATGTGTGCGTCCTGGATGGTGGACACGCCGAGGAAGATGAAGATCAGGGTCTCGCTCACGCTGCTCCACATCTTCAGGAAGTACTTGATTGTGGTGTGGGACTTCTGGGACATATTGGCTTCGACGTACTGCTTCATGGTCACAGCACAGGTCACGATCCTGCGACAAACACGGGTGAGCATGACTTAGCCACCGATCACAGTCAGAACCATAACACCAACAACCTGCTCCTCACATGGTTGATGAAGACCTTGTCACAGAGCCATTTGCCATGTCTCTCACAGGCCCTACAGGAGAGTCAGGTGCAGGCAGGATCAATCCACAACTGTCCAACCCAGGCAGCATTATCACAGGTGTGTGGTTGTACTACGCTAATCACTGTCACAGAAGCCCCGACTGGATCAGGTGATATTGGCCACTATGGGGCTTGACACTTGCTAGCACCATACTGCCTTTTTAGAAGCTCTTCTTTCATGTTTTAACAGCAAGAGTTTGCGTTTCCTTTCCTGAAAGAGTGTGATAGACGTACAGTAGCTGGTGGAAAAGGCTTTTGTCATACGGCTCACAAAGACACAGGCAGGCTGGGGGGCTGCATTCCCTCTGATGAAAAACTGGATACGATGCATTGCCTGAGTACGATTACATAAATGCAGCTCAGCAAATGAGCAATATAAAAATAAACTAGCTTCATTATTAATACCTGGGTCGTCACTGAAGTACCGCTCCTGGCAGTTTGCAATCAGTTGTCTAAAACATGCTAAATACATTTCAAAACAATTGTTTGCTTCAATTGCTCGAAGAATGCAGTTGCATTGCAAGACTGGCTGGGTTTGAGCTGTTTCAGCTGCTGGCAGCGGACTCTTGGGTCGAGTCACATGGGTTGCCGGTGGCACCGAGAGCCGGCGTGTGAAGTTCCCTCGGCACTCACGCCACGATCCCGGAGAGGCGGAACATCTCGGAGGTGAGGTAGGACAGGTAGCTGTAGAGGAAGACGAAGAGCGGCGCGATGACCTGGACCCGGGCGGTGCAGCGCGTGGTGAGGGCGGCCATCAGCCCGAAGGCCAGCCCCACGCAGAGCCCGCCCAGCCCCACCAGCAGGAGCTGGCACACCCCCGCTGCCACGTCCGCCCCCGACACGCTCGGCAGCCGCAGGAACGACTCGAACAGCTTGTACAGGACCTGCAGGGCACACAGGGGACAGGCAGCACTGCTCCTCTGACAGCACCGACCTGGGGCTGCCATTGAATCAGCAGGAAACAAGTCGGAACAACGAGTGAGCAAGGCCAGCATCTCCCCCTGAATTCCTCAACTTAGAAATCTCCGCTGTTCCCAAATGCCTCATCCTACACCCCCACCCATTGAACTGTGAGTAGGTTCTTTTCCCTCACTGCTGTGTTTGTGCTCAGTGGCAGCGTGTCGCTGTTTGTCTCTTTATCCAGCCTGTGTCGGTACATCACTCAGGGGAATGATAGAAACATGTTTTCGGAAACAGGTTTTTTTGTGTTGTTTCCTATATGCTGTGTTACTTAAGGAATGAATAAAAGTGTTCGCTGTCAAAAGCTATTCTTCAGTTTTCTGCATTAGGAGTGACGTCCAACACCTCGCCCCTATTCCCTGACCGTAACCAGCGCTCAGAAATACCCCCATCCCATCCTTGTCCTTTGCTCCCTCTATCTGCCTCCCTGCCTCTCACAAAGAGTTCTGCATCACTGTCTTGTAAAAATAAAGGAAACAAGCCCCCCGTCTTTACAAAATCAAACACCAGTAATGTGCTGGATGAAGTTGGTCCCTTTCTATATTTAAAGTGCTTTGGGATCCTTAGGGATGAAAAGTGCTATTTAAATGCAAGGAATTAATTAACTTCTTTCAGAATTCTGTACGCAATGAAAAAACAAATCTATCTATCAACTGATTGATTATTGTTATTTTAAAAATTGTCAAATTAAAGTAACTTTACAAGTTAGCCTTCAAGTTAACTTGTAAAGTAAAGCAATCATTTGATTGATTATGGTTATTCACAGAAATTAACTTGTACACTGAAAGGGGAGATTTGGCCAAGTCTATTGCTCTTGAGCCCAATTTGCACTCCTTTTACTGGGAGAGGACTGAGAGACTTGGAGGTACAAGCCCGACGAAACACAGCTGGACCATGGGAAAGATCTGGGCCCCATCCTGGTCTGCGGAATGGAGCCGTTTTAGGGATGCGGGGCCCACCGCCCTCACGCACCACGGTGACGGCATCGTTAAGCAGCGACTCCCCGAACACCAGGATGTGCAGCTGCTCGTTGACGTGGATCTCCTCGAAGACGGACAGCACCGCCACAGGGTCCACCGCCGCGATCAGGCTCCCAAACAGCAGGCTCTGCAGCACGGACAGGTCGCCCAGACCCCAGGGACCCGCCTGGCACACGCCGTACAGAGACAGCCCGATTCCCAGCGCGTTCCACAGTGTGCCCAGCACTGCATACCACAGGATGGTGCCCAGGTTCTCAAAAAACAGGCGGATGGGCAGGAAGTAGCCGGCGTCCAGCACGATGGGTGGCAGGAGGTACAGGAAGAAGGCTTCCGCGCTCAGGAGGGGCGGGGCCTCGTGCCTCACACTGTAGATGACCCCGCCCACCAGCAGCCCCACCATGATGAGCAGGCAGCTCTCGGGCACCACCGCTGGCACTCGGCCTGACCAGTGGAACCCTGCCAGGGTAGAGGTGGGGAGATGGTCAGGAGGCGGGGCACACAGCCTGGCCAATGAGGGAGATGGTCAGGAGGCGGGACACACAGCGTGGCCAATGAGGGAGATGGTCAGGAGGCGGGGCACACAGCGTGGCCAATGAGGGAGATGCACAGGAGGTGCGGCACACAGCCTAGCCAGTGAGAAAACACTCAGCCCATGGGAAAGTCTTGGATTAAGCAAGAGGAATATTTTAAGGCTGTGATACTGATTAACTTCAAATATCAGTGTTAATACATACAGGGTATGTATGGCTATACAGGGTACAGACAATGTGAACCTTTGATTGAAAAGTCCGTATAGCAGATCAAGAAAAAAATGTATACTTTTATTTAACAAGCCAAGTCAAGTAGCAATGGTTAAACATTTTTATTCCTTTATTTTACCAGGTCTGTCAATTTCTGAGAACAATTTCCCATTTCCAGTGATGACCTGCAAACCCATTTATACAGCAGGGCATTTACTTTAGCAATGTAGAACCTTGCTCAAGGGCACAACAGAATCCCGCTCTGGAAATGAGCCTTCAGCTCTGTGCTCCAGAGTCTGTAGCCCTAGCCATTCCAAACTGCTGCTGCCTAATTTATGGGAGAATATTGGACAATCCTATGAAAATGTCATGCAATATGACTGCATCAACATAGAAATCAATACATAAACAATTGTGTTAGATCTACGTGCAGTGCAGTGTTGCCTCAGAACACTATTTTTGTGGAGATGCAAAAAGTCCGCAAAACAGCCCCCCTTTTAAAAATCAAGAACGCCTTGCTTACCGAGTTTCGCCAGGGACGCCAGCATGATCCAGAGCCCTATCTCAAAGGGAGCCTGCACATGATGGTAGTCCACGCTGAAGACCCACGGCCTCCGGGGCTCCCGGTGTGTGGTGGTCAGCGGGGGGCCGCTGGTGTTGCTGTAGGGCACAGGCGGGCGCTGTTCCGAGGAGACAGCCAGGGCAGCCTGGAGCAGGCAGCACAGGAGAGGGAGCATCGCCGCTGTGCTGACAGAGACTGGCCCGGGCACAGCGCAGGAGCTGGGGAGAGTGGCAGGTGGAGCACTGCTGACAGGGCATGCCCACCTCCCCACCGAGCCCCCCAGGGACGCTGCTGTCCAGTGCAGCAGCTGACTAATTGATGCACTCAGACTCTAATGTGCCCCTGTGCTGACTGTATCGACAGAGCCGTTCAGTAATGGGCTTTTACAGAGCCTGCCAGTTCATCATGCCATCACTTTTCACGATGGAAAACCAGATCTCAGTGCTGTATTTGTTTGTCCATTAGCTCACTTGAGCTTGTGATATCTTTGTGCTTTGCTTATCTTCAGACAGGCAACTTCAAAAGCCATATCCAATCCTAACCTGTTACTTTTTTGTTGTTTTGCACATTGCCTGTTGTTGTTTTTTTGCACATCGTCTGTTGTTGTTTTTTGCACACTGCCTGTTGTCTCTGTCTTTCTTTTGCTACACAATTGTATTGTTGTTGTTTATTTTTTCTCTTTGTACTACTTATGTCCAAGAGCTAGCTAAATAGCATTTCGTTATACCATATACCATGTCTATGAGTTTAATGACAATAAACTTGAAACTTAAAACTTAAAACTTAAAACTTAAACTTTAACTTTAACACATCTCTCATCGAACAACGTTTCAGCTTGGGAGAGGAGGAACCACAGAGTTACCAGAACCTTTTAGCGTGATGTGAAAGATTTTTCAGCACACGTCCCGGAGGATGGAAGAACATTATCTCGCCCACTTCCTCCTGCCGATAAATAAATATCCCGCTTCCTGCTGACTCGCTGCTCCTTTCGGTTTCGGATCCCTTACTCTGCCCCATCTCCGCCCTTGCTGCAGCTCCCAGACTCATCTGGCAGGACAGAGAGGGAGGTGCTAACAGCTGCAATTATTACAGTGTCTTTCTCCTCAGCCAGGCAAGTTACCCCAGTAAAGCTCTAGATTCAAAATCACACCTCTTCTCCCTCATGACTGGGTTTTGACCCAACCTCCGAATTACAATTTGTGTGAAATCAGCATTTGAAAACTATCCCATATACCACAGGTTTTTGTAGCACAAAAACATGCAATCATGTTAGTTGTACTGTGTCTCTCTTTCACTGTGTCTCTGACTTCAGCTGACCTTGACCTTTGACCTCAGTGACCTCTGTGCAGCCAGAGCTAGGGTCAGAAAGAAGGAGCAGGTGATACATGCCTGGTTGTTCCGCAGAGACTCAGGATGACCATCTGTGTCACTGGGCTGTAGGTAACACCCCAAACTAAGGACAGCACAGGTCTCAGAAGGTAAGAGATATATCGTATAACTATCTCCCAGATCTATGAGTCAGGCTGTAACAGATTTACTGTTCTGAGGTTGGATTCATGCTGATAGCTCATAGTTCATCCAGAGTTTTGAAGATAATCATCCAGTTATAACCATACTGTAGACAAGATCTACACAGAATGCAGTGTAAGTGTGTAAGTTAAAAGGTAAGTACATAAACTCAACAACATAAGAAAGGTTACCAGTAAGATCAGGTCTTTCAGCCCATCCAAGCCTGTTCGTAGCTAATTAATACAAAGTTCTCATACAGCTGTTTCTTGAAAGAAACCAGGGTATCAGCTTTGAAAGCATGGCTGGGCAGCTTGTTCCACACCCCCACCACCCTTTGGATAAAGTAGCCACCTTGACTTAAAATTTGGATTTTGAAAAAGAGTTTGAATATTTCTTCTCCCTGACGTACGAATTAGTTTAAAAATCTTTCACATAATTGTTATTTTTTTTTACCATTTTCACCTGTTTGAACATTGCTGGTGTAAGTGTAAGTTTGTTTTAAAACACAGTGGCCATGTTGTTACTTTCAAAACATGACAGCATGTGGCTTTATTACTGCAAGAACCGGAAAGTGGATGTTTTAGAGCATTTTGACTAGCTGGAATCTATGAAGCATGCAGATATATAAATATACAGGGGTGGCCACTGAGTCACAGAGCACTGCTGATGAAAGAGATGCAGTCACTGTGTATGACAGCAGTGATATATGATGAAAATCATTCCATTTCACAAAAAGGGGAACTGCTGTTGTTGTTTCATCATGGCAAAAAGCAATTGTTTGATTTTTTAAAGTATATTAGTGATATTCTCTTAGAGTATGTTAATGTCACCCTGCATTATTGTACATAACAGTAAGAAGCATGTAGAATGATGTCAGTAACAAGCTGATTGTGTTTATTTCTTGAAACGGTGAAGTTAGCTCTCTTTCTGTAATGGTTACACCTAAGTTGAGTACTTCAGGACAAGGCCGTTTTAACTATGTCAGTCACTGGGCAAAAGCATTTACCTCGAACAGCTGCAATTTCTCAATCATTATGCATGCTCTCCAAAGAGAAATAAAAAAATCTTATAAGATTGTGTACTGAATCTTAAGGTTTGTATTCTGAGCAAAAATATTAAAATATCTATTTCCTCCATATCTATGGCCTTTTTCCTCTGGCGCCCTGCTTCGCAGTCGCTAATTCTTTAGATACAGGGAAAGTCAGATTGCTTATTAAACCCTGAGTTTAAATCCCTTTTTGTAAGACAAAACGAGCACCCTTGTGCACTATAATAAAGTGATACAGAGGTTTTACTCTGGCATGTCTCAGATCTCCCCAGAGGAAGCGGTGGGGTGTGTCAGCTCTGTATTTGTGCAGCAATTAAAAATAGAGAGAAAGTGTCAGAACCACAACCGTGGTGTAGTTCACTAATTTATTTTTAAACAATTCTGTACAGAAATCAGGGCAAGAAAAGCAGAATCAAGCTGCTTACAGTTCAGGCTTGATGTATTATTCTAAGAGGAAAAATATAAACTGCACTTCCAAGGACACAGATAACCTGTTGTCCAGCACAGTACTGTACATATAAATATAATTCTATAACCAAAAGGGAGATTTTGGGGGTCTTACGGTGGATCAAAACAGATCATTGTGGGATGAAAACCATTCAGTCTTGTGCTACAAACCATTCGTTCAAGAGATCTGTCAGGAGCTTCTTCCTGAATGAATTGTGTAACAGTAGCTACAAACAGAATGTGAAATGGCGTCAGGGTGCAGGTCCAGTGGCTGTCTCTAGAGGGCGGTGTGGAGCACACCAGTTACAAGAGGGGGGGGCTTCTTCTTGGCCGGTTCTGGGAACTTCCTCGGCTCCATGTTGGAGATGCGCAGGACGGGGGAGCTGATTTGGCCGCTGCTGCTGCTCCGGGTGCTCAGGTAGTTGATGACGATGCTGCGCGCTCGGTGAGCGTCCAGTCCTTGCTCCTGCGACAGCTGCAGGCTGAGCTGCTGGACGTTGTACTGCACGAAGCTGGAGGGCAGGGCCCGGCTCGGGGAGGCGCACTTGGCCAGTCTGTCCTGCAGGTACTGCTTGTACACCTCCAGCAGTTTGGTCTCCAGGTAGGTGTTGAGCATGGAGTTGGAGAGGGGCTCCCGGTTCAGGCTGATGCTGCTGTCCATGGCCAAATAGCCCTCGTCCGCCAACGTGTCCCCGTGCCCACTGGCGCGCTCCTGCGCCCCCCAGTCCGGGAGCTGAGGCCCAGACCGCAGGGGCAGGGGCTCCAGGGTCTCCAGGGCCTCCAGGTCTCCCGACTGCAGCAGCGGGCCCAGGCAGGCCTCGCAGTTCGGCCCCAGGCCGATGGGCCCGGAGGGCGGTGAGCCCCGGTCCCCCACGTGGTCCCCTCCGATCTGCAGGTCCGGGTAGTCTTTGCATATGCTGGTGCACCCCCAGGAGCGGTACAGCTCCAGGCCCCAGGGGCCCCCGTCGGCCGCGCTTCCCAGGGCGGAGCTGGCACCGCCGGTCCGGGGTACGCCCAGGGGCGGCGTCTGCTTCGGACTCTGGCGCGGGTCCTGCTCCGGGCTGGGTGTGTCCTCCCGCACCGCTGCAGGGAAAAGAGTGCGACGTGATTTCCTGCACGAGGCGCCGAGCCAGCTCTCGGTTCGTCGTCTTTCCTTCTGCTGTTGGGAGTTTTCTCACACAGCTTGTCCACTGATTCACCGGCTCTCAAGCTAAGATCCAGCTCTTTTAAATTCGGCTTTGATTTGCTTGACAGCCCTTGCTAACACTAATGAGAACAATCAAATGCCTTTTAATGTACGCCCCTGTACTATTTCAAACACACCGGTACTGACCAATGTACCAGCAACGTTCCTGCACCTGTGGTGTAAATGAGAGGCTTGTCTATGAGTGTCAGAGTTAGACTGACGTTTGTGTTTGAGGCTGCTCCATGTTGTGCTAAGTATTGTGTACCATGCATATTACCTGTGTCTGGACTGCTCACACTTTTGGAGGCTCAGTTCAGCTAAAGAATACATCTGCAACTGAGGACATCACCCCCCCAGCCCAAACTGCGCAGTTCCCAGTGCCTACCTCCCAGAATCACAAAGTCTCCATGCAGGTCTTCCCAGGAGTCCTGATGGGATTTCTTGCTGGGCCTGGGCCTGGGCCTGCGGGGACAAGCTGCGGCAGTGGCACTGAGGTCCTCCCTGTATTCAATAGCCCTGAGAAACCCTTCTGCTAGCATGGCTGTGCCAGGGGACAGGACGGTACTTCTGGGGTTGAAGGTGCTTTAAAAAAATCAAAGAATGGGCAACAATTACAGAAAACACCACCACTGCAATAGAAACCAGAAATCTGATTTCACTTGTAGACCGCATGAGCAGTAGACTAGATGACACTTCAGAGACAGGCAAACAGTTCCCTCCTGCATGTTAGGAAACTTTGTCCCCTGCTGCAGCAGTATGCTCCAGAACACGTGGGCAACTGTGTGGATCTGCCTTGATAGTGAAAAACATTAGCTGGTGCACATATCCCTGGATCCAAACTAACGCAGGAAGTGGTTTCATGACACCAGCCTCGACCTTTTTTGTCACGGGGGTGGGTCGCTTAGGTGGGCTGATTCCTTGCGGACACGCACACACATATACCCCCAAGCCGTCTGAGATTAGAGCATGAGCAGTGATAGTGAAGGTCCGAACACAGGGGGGGGTGGAACAGCCCACCCACTGTCCTTTCACTACGAGGGCATCTGTAGCCCTGCGACAACGGGCAAGGGGACAGAAGCGAAAACCAGGCGGAACAAAGCAGGCTGCCAGCTGCCAGAGAGACACTGGAGGAAGCGGGCTCAGGCGGGCATCATTTTCACTGACTCCTCCCCGCCTGCGAGTCTTACGGTGGATCATCCACCCAGCAGCTATTTGTTCTGTTGACTTGCCTTCACCACTCCAAGCTACCGGACAAAGCTACTGCTTCGGGACAGCAAAACAAGCGCGCGCTGCTCCAGGGGCACCAGGATGTTTGAATAAAAGCGCAGGATTAGCAAAGCACAGTAAAATCGAGGACTAAAACATCGTGCCGCCTGTGGGAAAAAAGAAAACTCAAAATCATGGTGGACTGCACATGCACCGTGGTGACATTGACAGGGTGCTCCGTCTACAGCTTTCCAATCTGACAGAGGTCGGTGATCAAGGAGCCGTCTCTACACGGCTGTGAGTTCCCCAGCAGATACGTACCCACAGGGAAGGCGGGCTGTGGCGTCAGTGGGCCTCCCGCGGCGCGGAGGACCTCCGTCGGCCTGCTGTGTGTAGGGGCGCGTGGCCGGTCTGCTCGCAGGGTGCTGTCGCCTCCAGCCGTGCGCTGATCAAGAGTGACTGCGGAGGCAGGGTGCTCGGGCAGCTCTTTCCTTAACTTCTGCAAACTGACGCTGAAAGAGGAACTTGCAGAAAATGCTCCTAATCATAGTGCAACACAGAGAGCAGCAGCCCTGTGGGTGGAAAATGCTTCTTTTTTTTTTTTT